AAGCTGTGGCTACTCCAGGAGCAAGTCACACTCCCGCTGTAGTTCCAATTCCTAGGTTGTGGAGCACAGTAGCCACATGGGCTACAGGGGCTGAGCAGTGTTGGCATTGTCTCTTCGGGGAGCACAGCTGTGTGGACTCCAGGCAGCTCCCTCAGCTGGGCTTAGTGCCTTGAGGACTGAAGGGGACCCGAGTGGTGGGGTCTGTAGGTGTCTGAGGTGGTAATGGGGGCTCCTGGGATCCTCTTGCTTACCCCCTCACCAAAGGGAAAAGCTCCTCCTGGGTCCCAGCTGATCCCAGTTGCAGGATGGGGTGGTGGTGTTTGCTTGGTGTTTCCTTCCATTCTCTCAGTGGCCATCCCAAGTTTCTGTGCTCACCAGTGTCTCTGTTACACCTCTGACGTACTCCGAGACTCTCCCTCAGTTATTTTCATTAAAATGTAATTTTTTGTTCATTGCTCTGTCTTCTTGAGAAAGACAAGCACTATGGGGAAAGTCAGCCATCTTGCTGATATTATCTCTCATTTCTTAATTGGGTTGTTTTACTTTTGTTGTTGAGTTGTAGAAGTTCTTTATACATTTTGTTAAATCAAGTTTAGCCTAACGCTGCCTCCTTATATATTTTAAGTTCAGCCTAAAGGTTTCTCTGTACCTAGTGAACTATAACCTAAATGGAAGTGTAAACAGACTTTGTAACCTATTATCACACCAATCATCAAGTTTTGGCCAAAGGGGGCCAACTGTTCTAACTGCGTTCAAATAAGGCAAATGCTAAATTGTAACCAATCAACTGTTTCTGTACCTCACTTCCATTTTCTGTACATCATATTCCTTTTTCTGTCCATAAATCCTCTTCTGCCACGTGGCTGTGTTGGAGTCTCTGAGACTACTCCGACTCAGGAGGCTGCACGATTTGCGAATCATTCTTTGTTCAATTAAACTCTGTTAAATTTAATTTGGCAAAAGATTTTCTTTCAACAATTATGATATTAACCCTTTATCAGAAATGTAATTTGCAAATATTTTCTCCAATTCCTTGGGTTGCCTTTTCATTCTGTTGATAGTTTCCTTTGATGCACGAAAGTTTTTAATTTTGAGTAGACAGATTTTTTTTTCTTTTATTTTGATTCTGGTGTCAAATCTAAGACCCTGTTACTAAGTAAAAGATCATAAAGATTTATCCACTATGCTTTCTTCTAAGAGCTTTATAGTTAATAGCTCTTACATTTAGTTCTTAATTTTATGTTAATTTTTATATATAGTATAAGGTAGGACTTCATTCTTTTGTATGTGGATGTCCCGTTTTCCCAGCAAAGAGTGTCCCTTTGCCATTATATGGTCTTGGGCTTCTCTTTATTGGGAAGTTTTCGATTACTGATTCAATCTTCTTACTTGTTACAGGTCTATTCAGATTTTCTACTTAATTCAGTCAGTTATGGTAATTTGTGTCTTTCTAGGAATCTGTCCTTTTCAAAAACTTAGGTTCTAAACTCAGGCTGAGATATTTTAACATCTCTAAACCTCCATTTCTTCACTGTAATAATAAAAAATAATAATAAAATAATAATAATAATAATAACAGTAGTACCAATCTCAGGACAGTCACAGAGACTAAAATACTTAATGTATTCATAAGACCCTGATAGTGCCTGACTCAGCGATTATCAGTAGGCTGTCACGAACAACTTCATTCCCTATTCTTCCGTCAGCACCCTCTATTCCAATTAATGGAACCAAATCCCAACCTAACCAAGTCCTGCCACCCACCCCAAATTCACAGTCCCATTTTCTCCACGTCACTTCTCTATCAGACCAAACCACATCCCAGTGTTTCAAAACATGAGCTGCATGTCCAATCTGTGAGGGAAGTACCAGAAGAATTAGGATTACAGTTTCAGTAAGGAGACACCAGGATTAGCCAAGAACCATGACTGAGGTCCATGGGGACAAGAACAAAGGACAGTGGCCACGAAACACCCACTTCTCTGCACAGGAGCGACAGCTAAACCCAGGGATTCCTCGACTCATCCTGGACATGTGTAGTGAGTGCTGGCCCTGTGCGTGCTGTGGTATCATGAATGTGGCTTTCTGTGGAGCCCCATCTCTGCAGCCAGGTGCATGGTAAGGTCAGGCTAGTAGGTGTGGCTTTGTGCCCACAGGTGTGCTGGTTCTTACAGCACCAGATGTCCTTGGATAGTATAGAGACCAAGGCCTCAGGAAAGTGATTCTCCAAAAAGCCCACCCTCCCTGCTGCCCACAGGGGTCTTCGGAGGGATCAGGAGACGACTCAAACATGGAAATCCTTCCCTTGGTTTCCGTAAGTAGCAAAACACAGTTTTGTAGGTTCTTCTGTATTTCTCTATCTAAGTATAAGCTCACCTGTCTCAAGTGTACACCATTCCCAACCACCTCAACCTCCTACTGCACCCTGCAAAGCTCACAGTCCGCCCTCAGCACAAGTCCTTGTATCTCCATCTCCCCTGAGTGCTCTCCACTTGTTCTTGCTCTGGCTCAAACATCTAAGCGGATGGATGTCCCCTCTGGTCTCTTCTTTAGAAACCTGTTCTCTGGGGTTCGCGTCACATATTAAGTTTCCCCTTCCTTCATGAAAAACTTAGCACCGGGCTTGCTGTTTGTGTCTCCACTTCTATTCTTGTTATCATTCTTGTTGTTTTCAAGATCCACAGAGATGGGAGGACCACTGCCTGCCCTCTCCATTCCTGAACCTTCTCACCCATCAGCTCATCTCTGTTCCCACAAATCATGCTAAACATGCTTATCACCAGTGATCATGCTAATGTTAATGCAATGATCTTGCAATGATAATGTCATGACGGCAATGATGTTTACTGATGGCAGGACTCACTGTCTCGCGAGTCTCCACTTCACACATCCCACTCTGCTCACGTCGCCTACTTTTCCGGCTCGCTTTTTCAAATACCTGCATCCCGAAACATGTCCTCACGAGAACCTCCAATCCAGTGGCATTGCCCCTCACCCTCCTCTGTCCCCAGCTTTGATCCCACATCCAACACAATAACCACACTCTTACGCACACCCTTCTCTCCCTCCTTGCACTTGTCTGGGAAATCCCGAATCCGGATAATTCACTTTTCTACCCATGTACTGAGGAGTGAATGTGGCTAGAGAAAAGCTCAGCCCATGCCAGCTGTTCCTCCTTGGAGTCAGGGCCACAGGCTCGAGGCGTTTCCTCAGTGCTGCTCACTGTCAAGAGCGACTCTGTCCCGGCTGTGCTCCTCTCCTCTCATGGGCTCTCAAGCTTGTGGCAACAAGGCCTTCACTCCCACTCCGCTGACGGAGGCAACAACGTCCCAAGGGCGCTAATGGCCTCTGCCTTTCCATGTCTGACAAACTTTTTTTTTTTTTGAGACAGAGTCTTGCTCTGTCCCCCAGGCTGGAGTACAGTGGCACAATTTTGGCTCACTGCAACCTCCACCTCCCGGGTTCTAGTGAGTCTCCTCCCTCAGCCTCCCTTTTTTTTTTTTTTTTTTTGAGATGGAGCCTGGCTCTGTTGCCCAGGCTGGAGTGCAGTTGTGCAATCTCGGCTCACTGCAGCCTCCACCTTCCAGGTTCAAGTGATTCTCTTGCCTCAGCTCCCCCAGTGGCTGGGATTACAGGTGTACGCCACCACGCCTGACTAATTTTTGTATTTTTAGTAGAGATGGGGTTTTATCATGTTGGCCAGGTTGGTCTTGAGCTCCTGGCCTTAGGTGATCTGCCTGCCTGGGCTTCCCAAAGTGCTGGGATTACAGGTGTGAGCCACCACACCCGGCCCAATGAACAATTCTCGGTCATCATCTTGCATCACCTTCCGTCAACATGGCGCATGGCTGGTTACTTCCTCCCTCCGCCCACTCCCAGTCCTCCACCTGCCTCCCTGACTGCTCCTCCTCAGTTTCTGGACCTAGTGCTCCTTTCTGCCTCCCCAATGTCCTTGGGGAGGGGCAGAGCCTTCAGCCTTCTTCCTCACACTGTTCTTCCCCTATGTCAAGGCTCATCAAAGTTCAACACACACCGGGTCACCTTGAGAGCTTGTTAAAACTCAGACTCCTGGATCCATCTCCACGACATCCTGATGCAGTCTGGGGAGTGGCCCGGGAATCTGTATGTCTAACAGGCACTCAGGTGCTGCTTTGGACGCAGGTCACTGCACTAAGCTTCGCATTCGCAGGGATCCAGCGAATAGCAAGCAGCCCCACAAACACACCAAACACTAACGACAACCCGTTGACATCTCCAGCCCAGAGGTCACTGGGCATCTCTGCTGCCCCCAACCCTAACCTAATCTAAGCTCCCCAGTACTCTCATCTCAGAAGAACTGCTCACCCTGTGGCCCCAGAAAACCCCAGGATGCAGCCTGCTTTTCCCTCTTCACACGCCCACCTCTCGTCATCAATCATGCCAGCTCTACTTCTAAAATGCAGCCCAATCCCACCTCATTCCCTTGCCTCTCCTTTCTCCAGGCCACTGTTGCCCCCAGTCATCTCCCCACTTGTTCTGCAGCCACGTCCTCATTACTCACACAGAAGCCAGAGCCAAGCTGTAAAACATCAGGCAGACCCTGTGGGGCCCCCAGAGGCTTCCATGGATGTGGAATAAAATCCACACTTGTGGGGCCTGCCCTGCCGACCTCCCTACCCAGTCCGGCTGCTTTCCCCGCACACTGGCTGGGATGCTGTACCTTCACGTCCCATCAACACAGTGGATGACCTTCTAGAAGCTGGAAGTCAAGCAACAGTTGCCCCTGGAAATGTAACCCTTTTCCACGGACGTCAAGGAAGGGCCCACAGGAGCCCGTTACCACGTTGGCCCTTTCTTGTGCTAATGAGGTCGCCATCTCTGGGAAACAAGGGCCATCAGCAGGGACTCAGCTTGTGACACAGCCTGGATCGGAGTCAGGGATCAGCAGGAGATGTGGGGGGAGCCTGAGCTGCACCGAGACAAGACGTGGCACTGGGAGGGGCACGGTGCCCAGGACTCACCAGAAAGGAGCACAGGAAGATGAAGGAGACGAAGTAGAAGTAGGCAAAGTCACTTCCACACTCGGTGGCGTTGGCCTGCTCATCACAGGCCTGGTTGCTCAGGCAGGACAGCATGATCTCGTGCCAGGCCTCCCCCGTGGCGCTCCTGAGAAGAAGGGCAGAGCTGTGAGGCCCACAGAGGCCCTCGAGGGAGCCCGAGCCCTGTGGGGCTGCCAAGCGTGCCCGCTCCTTTGGGCTCCTTCCCACAGAGAGCTCACACGTGTGCAAGGCCTGGGTCACAGATGCTGTTTCTTCAAAGGAGCCTTCTGGCACTAGATTTCCAAACTGACCGTTAATCGGGAAAGCGCTGCTTACTAAAAAATATCTACGGCACCAGGGGCCAACACCAGGGCGAGCACTTCTTTGTGGACACCACAGGCCCCAGTTGTCCTCCTGACCTCCTCCCAGACACACGCCATCCTGGTCGTCTTCATTTCCAGAAATGCTGACTCTCCTTCCAGCTGCTCCAACCAAAAACGTGGGCAGCATCTTTGCCTCCTCTCTCTCTATATATATCCTGTTCATCAGCTCATCTGCCTTCGAAACACAGCCAGGCTCTCACCACTCCTCACTGTCCTAGGCCAGGTGATCATGGCCTGCCCTGTGCTATGGAAGCTTCCAAGCTGGTCTTCTCACTCTGCCCTACACAGCAGGAAGCAGGGCCACTAAGCACAGGCCAGATCATGTCCTTTCTCCTCTCAAAACCCTCCAGTGACTTGCCTCACTCATCAGAAATGCCAAAATCCACATGACTGCCCACAGCACTGTGGGACCTGCTGCCCACTCTTTCCCTGACTTCACCCCCATCTCGGTTCCAGCTCAGTCCACTCCAAGCACCCTGGCCTCTGCTGGTCCTTGAACACCTCAAGAGCACCCTGCCCTGAGCAGCCACCCTGGATGCTGCTGCACAGAGTCTCTTCCTGGACACAGCCAGCACCAGCGGCTTGCAGGGTACAAGTGGGTCAGAGGCCTGGGTCTCCACCCCCATGTGTCTGTGTGGTCAGCCCTGGGCATAAGCTGGGCCCACTCCTCACTGATGACAGCCAGAGGCAGGGTGTTCCCGCAGGGCTGCTGCTTCAACCTGTGCCGGGCCTGACTGATAAGGGTGTTCCCAGGCAACACAAAGTTCAGGGAGAAACAGAAAGCCGTGAGACCAAAGGCCTCAAAACTAAGGCTGACTTCATAGGTTTGCCTTAAATCTTCTGTGGTATGAGGCAGAATATTAATAAATGATGAAATAAAATTAACACGGCAGCTAAAGCCCAGGCAAACAACATCATCTGGGGACAGTGTCAGCCTAAGGGTGCTTGCTTATCTTATGCAAAGAAACAAGAGTCCAAGGGGTCTCTGCAGGCAGCTCAGCCAAGCAGGCCTGGGTCTGCGCTCGCCCCAGCGCGCATCCGCAGGCAGGGTGGGCTGTGTCGAGCAGCCCCCAGGGCTGGCTGTGCAGCAGCCCAGTGCATTTGCAAACATGAACTGAAATGGTAAATCGCTAAAAGAGCTCCTTCCTTCTGTCCTAGGTTCATGAGTGATAAACTGTGGAAGACTCAGGAGGCAGGAAAACACATTTGCCACCTCCCCTCTGCTCCCAAGTTCACTCTCAAACCAGGACGGCCATAGCACCTGTTCCGCGCCCACAACAGCAGCTGATGCTTAGCCCTCTCCTGGGCACATCTCCGCCAGGAGACCTCGGAATGCCCAGAAGCTTGTGCCACAGCCTCTTGGCCCCTCCAGGTTCTGCCTGTTACTTGGCTTGGCTGCATCCAGGAGCCCAGGGAACAGCAGCTCCCATGAGCAATAGTGGAAAATAAAGGTGTGTTCAGACCAGCAGTTCTGGCCAGTTGGGTTCCTCGGGCCACTGAGTAGCTACAAACTCTGCTGGCAGCAGTTCCCCCTATTGCCCTACTGCCCTCGATCCCACCGATCCCTGTAATCAGCACATCACGAGAGCCCCCGCTAGGCACCTCTGTCCTCCCAGACCTCTGCCTGGAGCCTCACTGGAGGCCCCCAAGCTGCCGCCAGGGAGCACAGATGAGGCAGCAGAGGCCGGCCTGGCCCAGCGCTCCCAGAATGACCTCCCTCAGGGCTTCCCTTCAGCCTATTCTGAGATTGGGGCAGATATCAGGAGCCTTTGAAAAAGATGAGCAGAGAGAGGGGAAGAACCAGAAAGGCCTGCTGAAGCCAGTGGGGTTGGGGAATTAGAAGTGGGCGGTCTCTGTGGTTGGCACCCACCCTTCTTCATCCTGAGTAAAGCAGCCACTGATGGAAGAACGGACATTGGCCTGGGCTGACCGAACAACACACCTGAACAGCAGCATCAGCGCTTGCAAAAATGTCCGGAAGTTGTTGTGGCGGTTGATGCTGGTGTCATCATCCAGGGCAATATTCCCAAACACCTGCAATGGAGAAGAGCAATGGCACGGACTCTGCTGGGTCTGCAGGAGCCGCGGCAGGTGGACCAAGCCAGAGAGGGTGTGCGAGCCACACAAGGACCCCACATGAGATGGGCGGCTGCTCTCCCCAGAGAACTCCCACCCGGGAGAGGCCAGTGCGCGTTCCCAGTATAGACACCCTCTCAGTGGCCACACGTGTGCCGGCTCCAGCTCTGAACCTGTCCACAGAGGCAAGTCCGAAACACTCCCAAGAACGGCCCCCAGCCAAGTTTGCGAGGCCTCTGCCCCACATAACACAGGAAGTGTTTTCAAGTGGGATCATCAGCGCCTCCAAAGCAGGCATTATGTTGGTAACAGGTCTGATAGATCATGGGAAAATGTCTTTTTAAAACATATGCAATAGCACGAGGGGCTTTTTATCCATTTTAACTGACTCTTCCACAGTAAGAAATGCAAATGGGTCATTAATTGTACTCAGCCCAAAATCTGGAATCTGGCTGCAAATGTATGAACTATCCACAGAGATCAGTAACGTCCGTGCTCTGTACGTCCACAGACCAAAGCAGGAAAAAAAAGATGCATTTCTTTAAATAGCATCAGATCTCTGCAAATTTTAAAGCAAAAGAACTCTTCAATCCCTGAATCCCTGAAATAGAGTTTAGAAATCAGCTTTCAGCAAACCTTTGAAACGCTGGCACCTTCCATCACAAATTAACCCTTGGGTCCCTCCTCCGTCCCTACTGTCGGAAAAGTGGTCAGATGCCACAGATTTATAACTGGGACACTGCTCGATGGTTTTCAAATGCTTATTCCCAAATAGCTGACAAAGTGTTCTTTGGCAAAATAAAGAAAATCTAAATTATGCAAGCCAAGTTTGCCCAGTGCAAGGATCTGATGTGCTCCTGCTCGCATTCTCGGGCAGTTTTCCTCAGTAGCATGTAACCCCCGCTGTGGGTCAGGCCTGTCCTCCAGCGCGGCTGCCAGACTAACAGAATAAGCGACCGCTGCTGTGCAGGCCACTCGGCAAACGCAGCTGTGCTCAAATGCGCTGCCACCACACAGCCAGCACCCATTCTGACCTGTGCCCTGACACCCTACCGTCACTGAGCGGAAGCCCGTGTGGCCCTCAGAACACTAAGGTGCATCCACCCGGAGAGGTGGCAATGGGCCGAGGGCCAGGGCTGCTCCACACCAGGATGGCCCTGGGCAAGCAGCCCCATCTTGTGGCACCTCCTGTCCTCCTCCATAAAACACTCTTTCTGAGGGTTATGTAAGTTTAGGCCAGGCACGGTGGCTCACACCTGTAATCCCAGCACTTTGGGAGGCCGAGGCAGGTGGATTGCTTGAGGTCAGGAGTTCAATACCAGCCTGGCCAACACGGTGAAACCCTGTCTCTACTAAAAATACAAAAATCAGCCGGGCGTGGTGGTGCATGCCTGTAATCCCAGCTACTCGGGAGGCTGAGGCAGGAGAATCACGTGAACCTGGGAGGCAGAGCTTGCAGTGAGCCCAGATCACACCACTGCACTCCAGCCTGGGTGACAAAGCCAGACTCTGTCTCAAAAAAAAAAAAGAGTAAGAAAAGAGGATTACATAAGTTCATAAAGTGCTCAAAGCAGGATCTGGCTCATAGAGAATGTTCACTAAGGATCAACTGATTATGACGATGACTTAACAATCATGATCAGCGCCCCTCTGCTCCGGGGGACGGGAGGCTGGGACCACGCTCTGTCCCGAAGGGGAGCACCCACCTGCATGCCGATGATGGCGTAGATGAAGAACAGCATGGCAATGAGCAGACACACATAGGGCAGGGCCTGCGGAGACAGGGGCCGGTCAGCTACAGACGCCTCCTGGCCACCACGCCCAGGCCTCGTGCTACAGTGGCTGGGCCTTTGAGGTTGCACAGACCTCAGCGTACTCCAGCTCCATCCCACTGGCCACCAAGCCCCTCCACCAAGTGATGCCCCAGTTTATCTCTAACTCGGAGTCGTGAAACCCACCTCAGGGTTCTTGTAAGCGTGACCAAGGGAACCTATGGGTAACTTAAAATGTCTTTATAAATGACAACAGGACAATGCATACAACCACGAGACCTGCGTGCCGTGCCCTCTCCCAGCCTCCCAAAGGAGGGGCCGCTGTGGTGGGGGCGGGGGAAGCAAGACGGAGGAAGGGGACAGAGAGCACGGAGGCCCCCCGCCTGGCCCACCTTGAAGGACTGGACAAAGGTCCACAGCAGGATGCGGATGGTGTAACCCTGGCGAAGCAGCTTGATCAGCCGCGCAGCTCGGAAGAGGCGGAGGAAGCTGAGGTTGATGAAATTGTTCTGCAGAGAAGAGGAATTGTTCTCTGACCTTCAGAAGCCCTGAAAGCGCAGGCAAGCTGCTGCCACCCTACAACCTCTTCCCACATCCCTGTGGCCCCAAAGAAAAGTGGTTAAAAAGATTAAAATGAAAAGTCTGCTTCACAGTCTAAGCAGCAATCGGCCACCAGAAAATCTTCCAGAAGTCAAGCTTGTCCTTGCAAATCACTTCTCATGCAGCAAATCAGAGAAAACCTCCTTGGCTCTAAGGCCTCTCCCCACCCCCCACCGTGAGCGACAGAGAGAAAAGTTCTCCCAGGCATCTCTCTGCGGCCGGTGAGCTGGGAGATCACCTGCGGCTGGGCCTCCAGCAGTGACCGCCTCTCGCAGGACACGGCCAAGCTGACCACGTGCTGGGCATGACTGCTTCTCCACCGAGCACCCCTGAAGGGAGCCCCGCCCAGGCTTCACGGCCATGCCCTTTCCTTCCTGGCTCAGACAGCAAAGCCCTTGCTTGCTGGACCCCAGCTGGGACCTGGCAGAGGGGCAGACACTTCCTCTGAGGCTGCTCCAGGTGTGCGCAGACAAGTTATGGAAGGTACAGGTGTTCTGCTGCCCACACCACGGAGGCCACCTCTGCAATTCACGGTCAAACAGGCCTCTGCTCTAGAGAACCCAGGCTGTCTAGTGTAGCTCCCTCATCCAAGGCGCTCAAAATCAAGCACAAGGATAAATGGATAAACCCGGGACTCCACAGATTACCTGAGAGTAAAGCCTCTACATGGTCTCAGGGCACTTGAATTACTGTATTGGCACATCCCTTTCAGGGAAGCAGGCTCTGGGGAGGCGTCCATGCACAGATGGGGGTGCTTGTGGACCCAGGAGGCTTTCTGCCCTGTCTACCTAGAGGTCAGGTGCCCACACACAGCCTGAGAGCAGCTTCCTGCCACTGCAGCATTTAAAATATGCAAGCAGCTCAGGCTCAGAGACACGTTTGTGTTGTCAGATTCAGTCATCAAATAAAGAGAACACAGATGTCGAATGAGACAGCAGCAGCAGGAGCACGTGCAGGCGCAGAGGTGGTGAGGGCCTGGCAGAGCGTCCCGCCTCTCCAGGGCTACCATTATGTGGGAATGAGGCATCAGTGGAGGGGTGGGCCTCACTCTTCCTTGCAGGGACAGTGGCCCGACCCGTACTCAGAGGATCCTCTGCCTGGGTCTGCCACTTCCACTCGCAGGGGCAGGATGGCTGACGACTCAACTCGAGGGACTGGCTCTCAGGCGGGATGCTGGAACTGTGGGAGCAGGACTGGTTTTGAATGATATCCATGGCCAGTGGGCACAAGGACGGGCTATGATCCAAATCAGCAAGGCGACAGCAGACCTCAGGGTGTGACCCCAGAGGGCACCACAAGTGTACCCGTAGCTCCATAACCTGCTTGTGCCAGGGAAATAAAATCTCCGTGGTAGACAAGATGGCCAAGAACTCTGGGCCACGAGGACCCACAGAGAAGCCAGCCATCTTAGAAACATGGGTGCAGGGGTGGAGGGCCGCGGTCTCCAGTGTCAGGAGACCCTTATGTAAGATGATCAAACGAGCCAGGGGCTGGAGGATCCCACTCTGAAACCATGTGCTCAATGGGTCTGGAGGGGCAGTGACTGGGGCAACACAGCACCCACTGGTTCATAGCATGGTCAGGCAGCGGCACAGACAAGATTTCCTGAAGACACTGAGGAAAATAAAGGTTGCCGCATACGAAGGAAGGACTGGAAAACAACAGGGCAGGTGAGAGGTGCGTGGAGAGTAAGTTTGTCCAAATGACTTAACACATGAATGCCAACCTCAGCCACCATCACTTTCTGCTTTTCTGGAGACCCACATTCCCCTCTTCCTCCTGGCTTCTCTTGGGGCTCCCATGGGTACTCAGGAGAGGCTGGGGGCAGGAGATGGGCGCCCTGGAGAGCTATGAAGACAGACGGTGACGGCAGCCACAGATGTTCGAGCACAGCGTGGCAAGCCAGGCACCATGCCAGCTGCATGCAGGACAGCAAGGGACAGAAGCACACGCAGCACCATGCCGTGCACCTGCACCGTCACCTCTGGTCTCAGCCAGCCCCTCGGAAGTGGACACAGCCTGCCCCATCCTCACAGAGTCCATGACCAGCCCGTCAGAGGCGGACACAGCCTGCCCCGTCCTCACAGACTCCATGACCAGCCCCTCGGAGGCGGACACAGCCTGCCCCATCCTCAGAGTCCATGACCAGCCCATCAGAGGCGGACACAGCCTGCCCCATCCCCACAGACTTCCTGACCAGCCCCTCGGAGCCGGACACAGCCTGCCCCGTCCTCACAGAGTCCATGGCTTCTGTTGCAGCCACACCTACTTCAAGGTCAGGCCCTCCCTTACTTGTCCCTGAGAGGGAAAAGGTCTGTGGTGCCTTTGGGGCACCACATCATTGTGCCCTCAACATGGCGGCTGACTCACCTTCATGGGACAACGGTCCCTAACCCTTCAATCCTCACCTTTCTCATTCACAAAGTAGAAACATGGGGATACCCAGTCCAGGAGGTGGGGAGCACTTGAGAAAAGGGATTTAAAATTGCACTTAGCACTGCGGGACACCATGCCATGACAGTGACCCACTGACCCTGTATCCAAGACCACCACAGCCTCTGGCCAGAGTCACACGGAAGTGAGGGCTTGTCCCGAGTGTCGGTTGGGCACCCCACCCAGATGTGTGGGCCACGATGTGGGCCAGGTACCATGCCAGAGGACAAGGCCCAGCAGGTGCAGAAAAACTGCTGTGTGGCTCCCATTCAGTCGTCGTTCTAATGAGACGGGCGACTGAAGACGGGAAAGGGACGTGCACGTGCGTGAGTAACACATCAGGCGTGGATTGTGGTGGAGAGAGAGGACGGGACAGGCAGTGTGGGGAAGGGCTCTCTGAGGAGGTGACGCTGAGCAGGGGCCTGACTGGCACGAGCTGGATGCATGCAGATGACATCACCTGGGTGTTTCTGCAGCATCAAATGGTATTTTCTCAAAACGCAAGCTCTTCCGTGCAACTGTGAATCGCTGTATCACAAACATTCACTTTTACGTGACTCTCAAATATCTTCTACTTTACATTAATTTCCACAGTCACAGCTAAAGTTTGGTCGGTTACCAACCATCTTGGCTCTACAATTCCTGAAGACCCAGCAGGAAGCTCCGGTTGGACCCGCACTCCACATGAGCTTGCTGACCGATGCGCACACACAGTTCAGTGACATGCGAATGGGGGAGCCTGGGCTCCACTGCCTCTAGGGGCAGAGCCCCCTTCTTCTACTCAGCCCTACAAGAACCCTTCTGAATCATGAAGACAAAGACTCTAAGCCCTGCCCCTGAGCCCTGAACCCCCGGCCTGACCCCACCCACCCCAAGGCAGGTCAGTCCAGGAAGGACAGATGCTACAGGGGACTCTGCAGAGGCCACCTGGGCAGAGCTGAGCCTTCTCAATTGGCACGATGGGGACACAGCAGGTGGGAGATGGCTGTGCAACAGGAACCATGGACTCGCAGGGATCAGGGACAAACTCATGTCCCGCAAAGCCTCCCCAAATCTGAGCCAGTCCCAATAGGGAAAACTGCCCTCGACATTTACCCACTCCAGAAACCCCACCTCCCTCTCCTTGGGCAGGTCTCAGGGAAGCCCCGCCCAAGGCCAGTTCCCAGAATCAAACCGCTGCCAGGAGGGCCCTCAGAAGCCCTGCTGGGCGCCCAGAGCTGAGGGAGGGAGCAGGCCAGAGGTGAGTGGGTGCAGCTGCATCCAGCCACACGCCCAGAGGGCAGTGGGCTAGAGTCCCAGGAACCAGAGGGCAGGAGGGGAGCTGAGCAAGCAAAGCAAGGACTTGCAAGAACCGTTCAGAGTTGTGAAACCAACCGTTTCCTACATGTGATGTTTTCATGGATGGATATTTGCGTATTATTTACAAATTGGGGAGGTGTGAGCAGCAGGTGCACAACATACAGACGGAGACATGGGTTTTCGCATTGTATGTTGGTTGGATGGCGTGAGTCAGCAGGTAGGTTAAGGTAAATCAAGAACAAAAACAGAAAACAAAAGAGAAAATGAGTCATCAACACAAGCAAAAACTCAAACTCTGATTACTTAACTACAAAATTTTAGGATTTTGGTAAACTGCATATTTTTCTTAAAATATATCAGATCAAAACATATTTTTGAAGTCTGTAGGTTATGCAGACAAGGTGGCATTCATTTGCATTCTTGTTTGTAATGCAAATCCAAAGATGACTCACAGACACTTATTTTTTTTTTATTTCCAGGCAAAGAAATCAATGTCAGTTTCATGCTTGCTTGGAGCCCTCTCTCTGGGTGCCCTTGCTAAAACTCTATTTTGATTTTTAAGTTGGGGATGGGAACTGACAGTCATATTTTTGCCTAAGAAAAAAAAGTGCATTCACAAAGTAAACATATGAAGTGGCTCCAGATGAAAAACAGACACACAGACAAAACAAAGCACCATCAGTCCACACGACGGCTTTCCCTTCATCTTTTCTCCTCCTGGCAGAACAGGAGACAACCTGGGCTCCAGGAGCAAGGGCAGCCAGGGGACACCTGAGCTTTCCAACCGGCAGCTCTCAGGCCGCCACCTGCTGGGTTGGGTGTCCAGGGCTGGCAGGGGCTGCCAAGGAGGGCTTGCTTGAACCAGGGTCTGAAATGACCACAAACAGCCCCAGGCTCGACTGTCTCGCAGCTGAGGGACGGAGTGTGGGTTATTCTGGCTGCCTGCATTGCAGCAGGCATCTGCCTTGTATCAAGGTCTCTGCCCTACGCCAGGGCCTCTTTGGGGCGTGGGGAGGTTTCCCTAGAACCCGGCTGGGCATTGGGGCTCTCTGCACATCTCTGATGTCAGCCCGCAGTCAGCAGTCCTCGCCCCTCTTGGAAAGGAGCCGCACATGCAGAAACCACCCCTCCCCACCAAGCTCTGTCCTTACAGCTGGGAGCTCAATGTTTCCATCAC